CCCTGCCCCGCCTCGCCGAGGCCCCGCCCCCAGGCCCCGCCCGCGAAGTGCAGGCAGAGCCCCGGCAGCCCTGGGTGCCGGCCTTGGGGTCCCCGCCGCGCCAGGGTGTGGCGCCGGGTCGGGCTCGAGCCACGAAGATCCTCGAGCAGAGCAGCCTCCGTTCGCGGCCGCGCAGGTAAAGCCCCCGCCCCTCCGGGTGTGTGGACACCGCGTCCCTGTCTATTACCCGTCCTTGGTTCCCAGTTCCTGGGGGTCCCGGGGGTCTCGGGGTCCCAGGGTCCGAGCCCCTCCAGCCCAGGCCCCGCGCGGCCCCGCCACTCCACGCCCCAGCGCAGCGCGCGCCCAGGGCTTGGCTTTTCTCTGTTCTCCTCTTCCTTCCTTCCCAAGCATAATGGAAATAAAAGGCGCCCACCCCAGGGCAGGTGCCGGGTGGCTGTTCCTGTTAGGGCGGGCAGAGAAGAGCTTTATCCATTATTTTAATTTTTAAGGATTGTCACAATTAGCAAAGTGCTAAGCTTCTGCAGGAGCCTGGCCGGGAGTGATGAGCCGCTGGTTCCGGTGGTTGTGGGTTGGTTCGGGCTCTGCATTGAGTCTTCCCTGTTTCCACCCTGAGGGGCTGGGAGAGGGTGGACGCCAGGCGGCCATCACCCAGCGCTGTCCAGGCCCCTGGTCCCTGGGTGTCTAGAGGGTGTGTCCAGCTTAGGTGGCAGGGCTGTCCCACCATGTTGAGGGGTGCCTCCCCCCAACCAGGGATCAGTAGAGCCTGCTCTTGCTCTTCTGATGGCATTGGGAGTCCCCAGAAATAAGTTAGAGAGACCCCAGCTGTCAGAGGCTTCAGTTTGCCTGTGGTATCTCCTCAAAGTCAAAGTGTGCCTGGGTGCCGGCTGAACCCCGTGGACAATGCCCATTGCTCCTCTGTTTCACGTTTTCCTGGCAGGCGAGGACAAGAGTTTATGTCCCTATCGGAAGCAGCATCCAGGGAAGCGGGGAAGGATGTAGGCCCACAGCCCCGGGCTGGAGGAGCACGCCGTCTGCCCCCAGGTGCGGTCAGGATGGGCCCCACGGGCAAGCAGAGCCTCTCGTCCGTGCCGGCCCCCATGGGAGGGTCTTGCCTCCTCCTCCTCTTCTGCCTTCGCCTGGGCACCTCCTGCCCGCAGAGCTGCCAGTGCCCCGACCACGATGGGGCTGTGGCCGTCCACTGTAGTGCAAGCGGCCTGCAGGAGATCCCCAAGGACATCCCCGCCAACGCCGTGTTCCTGAAGCTCGACGCCAACAAGATCGCCCGCGTCCCCAACGGAGCCTTCCAGCACCTGAGCCAGCTGAGAGAGCTGGACCTGTCCCAGAACGCCATCGAGACCATCGGCCCCGCTGCCTTCTCGGGCCTGGCCGGCGGCCTGCGGCTGCTGGACCTGTCTCACAATCGCATCCGCAGGATCCCCAAGGACGCCCTGGGCAAGCTCAGCGCCAAGATCCGCCTGTCCCACAACCCCCTGCACTGTGAGTGTGCCCTGCAGGAGGCCCTGTGGGAGCTGAAGCTGGACCCCGACTCGGTGGACGAGATCGCCTGCCACACCTCCGTGCAGGAGGAGTACGTGGGGAAGCCGCTGATCCAGGCCCTGGACGCCGGCGTCAGCTTCTGCAGCACCCACCACAAGACCACCGACGTGGCCATGCTGGTCACCATGTTCGGCTGGTTCGCCATGGTGATCACCTACGTCGTGTACTATGTGCGTCAGAACCAGGAGGATGCCAGGAGACACCTGGAGTACCTGAAGTCCCTGCCCAGCACCCCCGTGTCCAAGGACCCCCTCAGCCCTGCATCCTAGTGCCCGCTGAGGGCCATCACTCTGTGGCAGGTGGTGACTGACTCCCGCTCCTGGTGTCCCCCTGGCCAGGTGGTATCACAGCTGCTTCTGTGCAGTGCACACTCTGATCAAACACTTCCTCCAATTGCACTGAGTCACCCCAGTGCCCTTCGAGCCAGGAGACTCTATCAGACCCGCTGAGGGAGGAAGAAACGAAGCTTAGAGAACAGACTGACTTGCCTGTGATGTCACAGGAAACGATCCAGTCGGGACTTAAAACCAGGCTGCCTCTAAGATGTCCCTTCCACTCGCAGGCCTCTCCCGTGTGGCACCGTGGGAGCGAACGCATTCAGAGAAGGAGGGGCTTGTGTCCATGACTGCGGATATCCCCGGTGGAGTTTGGGGTGCAGATTCACCTGTCGAAGACACAGGTGACCCCACACTGCGGAACGGACGCGCCTCTGCTCCCCTAGTAGTTCCTGAACACATTGGACCACAGCATCTGTCCGGAGCCAAGTAGGAGAGCCCAGGAGGGGGAAGGGAGTGAACAACCATGTTTATTCTCAAATGACTGTGAGGAATAACACTTGGACCCAAATTTCAGTCCGGCGAGAGGGGGAAAACCCCAAAACCTGAAACTGAAACACCACAGAGAGGAACCCGAGGGCAAGCTCGGCCCAAGTCCCACGCGGTCTGCCTGGCTCGTGGGAAGGCCGGTCATCATGGTCGCCGTAGTGCCTTGCTTTTCTACTCACCAACACCTAAAGCAGCTCCTTTCAAAGGACAGGACCGATGAGTGATGTTTCAAGGCCAATCAACGGGATTCCTCCTTTTCTCCAACAAGCGCGCTCTCTCTCTCTCTCCCTTCCCTCCCCCCTCCCTCTTTCTCTCTCTCTCCACCTTTGCTGCCAGGACTCTCAGAGCTCACTGAGTGCTCGATTTTCTCATACTATAGCTACACGTCCAGGGCAGACGTTACCTCCACCTTTATGACTCTGATTCATCTTCCCAGTTTTATGTTACTGTCTTTTGTATGAGTGTTTATATTTTACACGACTTGGAATATATTTTTTGGGGGGGGGAAGCAAATAGGGATAAATGGCTAGGAACTGAATGTAGAAAGGACAGGAGCCTCATCAAGCAGAAGCTCAGAAGCGATGAACGATGGCGGGTGGTTGGTACTTGGAAAGTTCCGAGTGACTTGACGTGGGAAACGAATGTGGGGTCGCATTTACATGCCGATCCGGAGACCCAGCCGCTGCACAGAGACCTGAGAGGCTCGTCCGAACGCGGCTGTGACTTCTCAGTCACGTGCATAAACAAGGACCCGCCAAGAGGTTCCCAATGCCTCCCACACCCTAAGGCGCTGCGCCCGTGTTCACGGGGTGGGGGTGGGGGCGTGCACAGCATGTGCAGGGTAAAGAGAGGGGCTCACTGTCCAGAGTGGCCGTGGGAGGCAGGGTGACTCGGCCATCAATGGCCACCTGCTGCTCCACAGGCCGCCAGCCCACAGCTCTGCCCACCTTTCCAGTGACAACTAAAGCCAAGAAGTCTGTCCACGTGTGTGACAAAGGCTGTGTGGAGCAGGTAGGCTCCGCTGCCGGCTGACCGGCAGGACACAGCCTCCTTGGGTGATCTGGGTCCCCTCCCCCCATCCCATGTGCACTGGTGGGGACAGGGTCCTACCCCACAAGGAACTCACCTGTGGGCCTCCCTGATGGCTGTGACCCCGGGGTCAGGGGAAGAGAGCAGCACAGGCCCAGGGGTAGAGGGGAGTGTCAGGGTCCTGCAAGGCCTCTTGTGGGTGCCGCCAGCCTCAGCACTTTGGAGGGCCCCTCCTTGCTGCGAGGGACTCCATTTGCTCTTACCCCCAAATCAGCCAGCGCCCAATGCCACCACACGTGGCTCTTCAGGGGGTGCATGGAGAGTAGGTGGGCTTTCCCCCTCCCGACCACTTTGCTGGCCCCCTGCCCAAGGCCACCTTCCCTTGGTGTGGACCCTGTGGGGACGGGGAGGTGGGTGAGAAGTGGGCGAGGACCTAGAGCACTCAAGGGCCCTCTCCCTTGCATCGAGAGCCGTCAGGGGCTGCCCACCTCCAGCCTTTTGGGGCTCTTCACCCCTCATGGAGTCTCCCAGGGGAGGACACCTCCCTCCAGGAAGACCCCCAGGACCTCAACTCCAAGACCCCCAGCTCCTCCCTGCTCATGGAGCTCCCAGCCCTGGTGCCTGAGAACAGTTTCAGGGCACAGCCCTCTCCTCTTCTTTTTTCTTCTCCCCCTTCCCCTCCTTCCTCTCCCTCAAGGAACCCCTTAGGATGATGCCCTGCCTGCACCCCCACATTCTTTGCTGCCATATTGAGTATGGGCCCCTGGGTGCCCTCTGGGCCCTTAGGCTGATGCAGCCTTCCCCACCCCACCCCACCCCACCCCATTGGCTCCAGTGTTTGACCCCATCTTACATCTGTAGAGGCCAGGGTCAGGCTGGCCCCGTCCAGGGGACCAGTGTTGACAATGGTGGTGACATGGCAAAAGGGGTGCCTCCGCCGGCCCATTCCCCAGCTCTCTTTGCCATCCAGATAACAGGCTCTTCATAGGGCCTGGGGGTCCAGGCCAGACAACTTTGGGGTTCCTCATGGGGTAGAGGGGTGTAGTGAGCAGAGGCCCCTGGGCACCCACATGGGCGCTGGGCACCGGCCCTGCCTGCTGACTGGCTCTCCTGCAGCGGGTCCTCAACAGAAGCGTTTGCAGGGACTTTGATACTGGACTGAGTTACCTGGGGGAGGCAGGGCTGCTGGCACAGGCTGTGGGAGGTGGAATGTTCTGGACTCGAGGCAGCTCCCGGCCATGGCAGCAGCCTGGAGTGGCGCTGGGAGTCCTCCTGGAAGTTCCGTCTAAAGTCTGATTCCACCGTCCTCCCCCCTCGCTGAGCCCTCAATAAACCTCCTTGTGCTTAAATCGGCTGGAGTGGATTCTGTTGTCTGCCCCTCTGTGGCCCCCGCCCCTCCCCTAACTGCAGACCTGGCCGGGCAGCGGAGCCAGGCCTGCGAGCCCATGGCATGAGGGGCTGGGTCAGGGGTGAGGCCAAACGCACACCCTCTGGGACACAGCAAGGTCAGCAGCCGCCCTCAGGCCTCAGGGTGGCCCCGGGCCGGCCGGCCACTGGGGAGGGGGCAGCAGCCGTGAAGTCCCTGGACAGCCCATCCGGGGCTGATGCTCACAGTGGCTGGCAAGGTAAAGAACATTTCCATTTCAACCCGAGGCTGTGAGGACTGGAGGGGGGATGGCGAGTCAGGAGGCGGTTTGTTTGGGGCAGAGCTGGGCTGGAATCCGCTCTCTGACGTCTGGGCCTGGGACTTCTCACTCAGGAAACACGAGCCTTGGAGCGTCACCAACACGGGAGGTGAGTCCTCGGTTCAGCCCCAGACCAAGGAGGGGCCCGCGCGGGAGGCAGGGCAGCCGGATTCACAGTTCAGTCTGGGATGCTGCATTGGAGCCCCTGGGTTGCTGCATCTGTAACCATGGCAACAGCACGGGCAGGAAAGGGAGTGGACCTGGGTTGGCCACCAGGCCCCCCTCCCAGGCGCAGCTGACAACGCTGGCCTGCTTTCTGTGCAAAGAGAGGTGGAGAGAGCTTCCCCGAGTGACCAGCCGCCGGGCTGACCCTCCCGGCCAGCTCAGCGGCTCTGGGAGAGGAGGAAGGGCCGCAGATGCAGCGGAGGGAGAAACCAGGGAGTCGGTGGAGAGCGGCCACCCAGCTGGAAAGCGGGTTCCAGAGGCCATGTTAACAGCTGGCCCTATGGCTGGGGAAACTGAGGCATGGATCGGTGAGACGATTTGTCCCAGGTCCCAGGGGCTGGTGAATGCTGAGCTGGGGTGTGACAGGCTCCAGGCAGCAGTGGACAGCAGACAGACGTCAGCAGCCGGGCAGGAAGGCGGAGCAGTTAAGATGCGGAGAGAACCCCGAAGGGAGACCAGCGCATTTATATACAGACGTGGTGACGCTTCTTTCACCGTTTGTCACTGTGGCAGGGGAACCCCCAGACAGTCAGGAGACAGAGCTGTCAGCCACTGAAGTCTCTTATCACATTAAGTCACAGCCACTCCCGCCTCCCGGCCAGCCCCGGGCAGGGATCTGATGAGAATGCTTGCTCAGCCCTGCCGCCCTCCTCCCTTCACCCCTGCCCACCGCACACACTCAGACCTCCGGAAGGTCAGTGGTGAGGGCCTGGCGGCGTCTCTGAGCAGCGGTCACCTCTGCACTGGACTTCCCCGAGGGGGCCGTGTGCAGGATGGGCAGCTAGGCCAGGCCCTCCAGCACAGCTCTGAGGTGCTGGCCTGCCAGGCCCCACCAGGGCACCCTCCCCATCCACCGGGCGAGCTGGAGGTGCCCGCCTTGGACAGGCACCTGCTGTCCTGCCCCTGAGAGCCCTCAGCACCCCCACTGTCTCTGGCTCAGCTGCCACCCTCTCTGCGCCCACTTCTGGACGCCCGGGCCGGGTCCTGCTGTCCCTGTGTGGGAGATCTCGGAGTTAGTGGTGTTGACCAGAGGGTCGCCCTGCGGGTGGTCAGCTGGACCCTGCCCCCCGCCCGGCTCCCGGGTGCTTTGCGGTCTCTCCGTAGCCCCCGCAGAAGCCACTGGACCGAGGGTTCAGAATGGTCGCCAAGCTTCCTGTCCTTGCCCTGGGCTGAGAGGTCGTCTTCAAAAATCAGTCTGTTGGTCTGGACGTCACAACGAGGCCACCAAGACTGAGGTTTCTCGAGCCACTCATTCTTGTCGCGAACCTAGAGGAAGTGCCGGCTCCGTTTTAACTGCTGAGCAGCCCCCGGAAGGACCCGGCAGGTCCGGTCACCGCGGCCGCCGGCCCGGCGATGCCTGCTGCTGCGGCACTCACTCTTGACGGTGGGTGTGACTCGTCAGAACTTCAGTCTGTTTTCATCGCTGGGATGTCTTCTGTTGGGAAGTTTGCCCACGCCCTCTGCTCTGGGTCCCGAGTGGGGCATTGGGTCCCGTGTTCGTTAGAGCTCCTCAGACCCTGAGGACCGACTGCGTGAATTGAGCCCCGGGCGTGCTGGTGTCTCACCTCCACTTACTTGTGTATTAACGTAACAGTATATGCTGGACGGGTATGAAACCATCTATCTGTCATCTCCACCTTCCCTTTCATTTTCTCCCATTGTCTTACCTTTAGAAAGGTAAAGCGTTTCCTCCAAATTGGGGGCGGGGGTGGGGGTTCTATTCTTTTGCTTTCCAATATCTGTAACTTTAACTTTACCAAATTATGCCAATACCAGGTTGAATGGTTTAATGTTAGTAGAATTTAATACCTGGAGGCCAAGCTTTCCCTCATTTTTTCAAAGTCTCCCCCCCCTCCCCCCCCCCGCCTATTAATTCTTTGAAATGCTCCGTGGATCACTTCATTAATTAAAAAGGCAAGCTTTGGGCCCTAGCTGGTTTGGCTCAGTGGATAGAGCATCGGGCCTGCAGACTGAAGGGTCCCGGGTTTGTTTCCGGGCCTGGGTTGATGCCTGGGTTGCAGGCTCAGTCCCCAGTAGGGGGCATGCAGGAGGCAGCTGATCAATGATTCTCTCTCATCATTGATGTTTCCAGATCTCTCTCCCTCACCCTTCCTCTCTGAAATCAATAAAAAATATATATTTTTTAAAAAGGGCAAGCTTTGGGATTTTGACTGGCATTGTGTGTGTGTGTGTGTGTGTGTGTGTGGCGGAGGGCAGGGTATTGGTGGTGGCAAAGTTAACGGGCGCTACAGGAAAAGCCCAGCCCCCGACACCAGGAGCGATGGCCACGGTGAGAACAAGGGAAGCTTGCAGGCAGCCCTCCACTTCCCAAGCTGGCAGATTGTGAGACAAACGCCCAGGGTTGGCAGGACCGATGGAACAGGGGCCGCTCCGCACATCTGGCCGTGCTTGGCCTTTTCAGGGTTCAGGGGGAGCCCCGGAAGTCAGGAGCAGATGCAAACATTGCTGTGGACAACCTTTCTCCAGAAACCGCGACCTCGAAGGAGCCACCCCAAATAAAAATACAATTTGTGCTGAGATGTCCTTAAAGGCTTTGCTATTTATCTCAGTGGAGACTGTTGAGAAGACCCCCCGTGGATTTACAAAGGTGCCCAGCTCAGCGGAGTGGGGACTCTTGCACAGGAAACACAACACGCTTGTCAGAAAGACAAGCCATACGCAAATTCCCGTGCAACCGCCGCAGGCTGCCCTGCGACCCGTTTATCAGCCGGACAAAAACCAGGCCGCCTTACTAGAAAAGATGTAAATATTTCAGTGTTCTCTGCATTTCCCTTCTCCTGTTTGTGTTCATAATCTAAACAAGCCTTGATGTGTGGGTTTTGTTTCCGCCCAGTAGAAGAGATGGGATATTGTGCTGAGGCGAGGTGGCACCGGTGGCTTGCGGAGGAAGTCTGCGGCAGGGTCCTGGTGGCTCCCTGCTGTGCTGGGGACCCGTGTGCCTGCCTCCTTCCTCTCTGGGCGCCAATCCTCCCACCCCCCCACTCTCCTACCCTGTCCCTGTGGTGAGCCAGACCCTGTAGTGACACCCTTAGGGCAGAGAGAAAACTGGATGTCTGGGTTACCCAGAGAGAGAAGCTGTGAAGGGGGGGGGTGCTTGGAGGTCATGGGCAGTGCCCAGCTGGCCCCTCCCCCAGGGGCACATTGAGGCTCAGGGATTGGGAAGTGGCAGGTGGGGGGGACTAAACACTCTGGGGCCCTGGCTGCCCAGGACAGGGACACTGCCAGGCCTAAGGGACAGCGACAGCAGAGGTGTGGGGTCTCGCAGGGACACAGGGGCTGCTGCAGTGGGGCCTGACTTGGTGTGAAGGGCATATCTTCCTTCTCCAAAATAATGACTGAGTGTGTCCGGGGGTGGGAGTGGGGGAAGGTCCATGCCTGTGGGATTCCAGGGAGTGCAGGTGCCGGGACTTCTCTCTCTCAGGTCCCCTGGCCTGGCCCCAGACCTCTCCCCGCCCCCACCCCTGCCCTTTGCTCTTCTCCTTGGGGAGGGGACATCCTTGTCTGGGGTCAGCCCCACCCTCCCCAAGGCATGGAGGAGGCTCTAGAAAAATCTCAGCCTTTAGAAGTCAGAAGGGCCCTGCTTAGGACCTGGAAACCCTCGATCTGATTGGACGCAGTGTAGACCTCCTCCCTGGGCGTGGGGCGCCCACCCTGTCCTCATGGGGAACTGACCACGGGGAGCCAGGGCTCCGGGGCCGGAGCCGCCACTGGGCCCTGGCTGTGTGACCTTGGGCAAAAATCACTGAGAGCTTTAAGGAGGAAACGGCAGAGCGTTCACCCCAGCGTGGGGCCTCCCTGCTGCTCAGCTCCGGCTCCCACATCCCTCCTGAGGCAGTCGCCTCCCAGGGCAGGCGGCGCGGACAGTGGGACGGGCCTGGCCTTGCGACCACCGGTGGTCTCCTGACTCCACGTGGACCCCGCGGCCTCCCCAGCAAAGCTGGTGCCCGAGGCCTGGGTGGTGCCGGCCCCTCCCCTCCTCCCTTCCCCTCCAGGTTCCCAGGGTGTCCTGTCACCCCAGCAGCATCCCAGGGAGGCAGAAGGCCCCCTGGTGGAGGGTTCGGGGTGTTAAGGCGGAACCAAGGGAGCACGGGCCCCGAGGAGCAGCCAGTCCATCCTGCACACCCACCAGCTGCAGTGAGGGGTAAACTGAGGCCGCAGGAAGCAGCTCCGTGGAGGAGAGGTGTCCCCCGATGGCACTGGTGACTAGGGACCTGAGGGATCCTCTGCTTTGGTGGCAGAGCGAGGCCCCAGGATGTGCTCACGGAGAGCGGAGGCCCCCAGAAACACGCAGACGCAGCCCTGCTCTGTGTAAAGAGTCATAAATATATTTCAGTGTAGACAACGTACAATAAATAGCTGCATGAACGTGTAGGACAGCCTCACGCCTGCTCCCCGTCTGGGCTCGACAACCAGGGCCGCGTGGCCAGGCCCCAAACTGACGCTGCAGGGAAGGTGACCGGCTTCTGAGTGTGAGGTAAACAGTTGTATGAACTTTCCTGTAAAGCGACACCCCCTCAGGGCAGCTCTGGTTTCCGGGAGAACACCCACGAGCCGCCGGCATCTGTCCACGCGGGGCACCAGGCCAGAGAGGTGACCGACGTCTCCAGTTGGGGGAGGGCCAGGACAGCGAGACGGCAGCTCTGGAGGCGAGGAGCATCTCCCCAGAGGTCCCAGGCTTCTCGGGGGGCTCCGGGGTGCAGTGAGGTGGGTCCTGTTCCCGGGGGCCAGGCCCGTCACCCTGTCCTGAGCTTCAGCACCCGGGAGAGGGGCTCCTTGGCGCTGGAGTAGACGAGGTAGGAGCCGGCCGTGGTGCGGAAGGTCTCCCAGTCCCGGCAGCCGAAGGTCGGGAGGCTGTGCACAGCCACGAAGCCTTCGTACCCCTGCCACCTGCGGGAGAGACACGTCAGCCTCGGGCGGGCGGTCTGTGCCGGGCGGCTGGCAGGGCGGGGAGAAGCTGCCCGCACGTCCAGGCTGCGACTCCCCGGCTCCTGCCGCACCCAGTGGGCAGCCTGGCCCTCCGTGCTCTTCCCCAGGCCTCCCCCCGCCTCCCCCCTGTGCACAGCACGGAGGGGCCACATGTTCCCGGGCGGCACAGCTGCCGGGTTATACTCTCAGAGAGCTAGATGAGGAGCCGGCAAAGGGGGAAACTGAGGCCTGGGGGGGGACCTGCCCTGTCCTCCACCCTGCAGCTCCTCATATCCACCCAGACACTGCTCCCCGCACACTGCTCTGCACCTCCCTGCCCCCCAGTTTGGACCCGGAACCCGGCCCATGGCCCGCTGCTCATGCCGTCAGCGGCTTCTGGGTTTTGCCTTCAAAAGGGATTTACCGACAGGTGGCTCCAACTTTTGTACGGTGATGCTCTCACAGCGGGTGCCGGGTTCAAAGGCAGGAGTTGTTTTAATTTTGTTATTTTTCCAGACTACTTTCCAGAAAGGCCGGCGGTCCCTGTCCTGATGGGAAAGGGCCGGGGTTCCGCCCTCCCCCCAGGCCCCTCACTTCCAAGCACCACTCCCAGAAGAATGCAGGAAAGAGAATGTGTCATCCTCCTGCTTTGAGAATAACAACGTCCAATGTTTATTCACATCTTTCATTGTTTTCATCTGAAAATTCCTGTTCATAATATTTTGCCCATTTTTCTGAATTAAAAAAATATTTTATTACTTTGTAGGGGTTTCCTTTTCTGTCGTAAGTGTGGTAAAGTTTGTCTTTTGATTTTGAATAGGATGTCTTTTTCCATTTAAAACTTTTAAAGGTAGGTAGCCAGCCAGGTGACCTATTTCCAACCTTGTTGAAGGAGAGCGCCATGTCTTCTTGTACAACTTTGTGGTTATAAAAAAATCATCTTAGCTTTTTCCTAATATTTCTATAGTTCAATTTTTTTACATTTAGAGGCCTAATCCTCATTAAACTTATTTTTCTATATAATATGAAGCAGGAATAGAGCTTTATTTTCTTCCAGATGGACAGAAAATGATATACAAATTATTTTACTAAGTAATGCATCCTTTTTCATTGAATCGAGATACAACATTTATCACATTAAATGGCCGTAATTATTGGCTTTCTCGTGGAGTGTATTACATCCCCCCTAGAGGTTTATTTCAGAAAAGCCACACGGCTTTCCTGGCACGCCGTCAGCGCCTCCTTCGCTGTTTTTATTCTTCCAATTTTTCTTGGCCATGTTTGAAAGTTTAGTCTTACCAAATTTAATTAATTTTAAAATTATGCTGTCATTTTGAACACTCTACAGCAAAAGAAAAAAAAAATTAGAAAGCCTAAAGAAAGTTGATTTTCCTAGTAAAACATAGATGACCAAAATTGTCTCAAGAAGAGACGGAAAACCTGATTACGCCAATGACCACGGGAGACGCTGGAGAAGGGACCTGGCCCAGGTGGCTTTAGGACGCGGTGTGACCTAATCACAAAGGAAATAGCTAAATCCCACTATTGAAGCGCTTCCTGCCCAGAGGCGTGGGTGGGAAACTTGGTAGCGGGCACCTATTAAGTCAGGCTCCACCTCAACCTGGGTAGAGGTACGGCCCCAGAAGAAAACCACAGAGCAATTTCAGTTGCTAATAAGACGCAAAGCTCTTAAATCATTCCGAAACAATTGGTAGCCACTGGCATAGTAAGTAATTACATAGGACCCAGTGGCACTGGTCCCAGGAATTTGAGGAAACCGCTCAGAAGTCATTGCGTCAACAGATTAACTGAGAAGAGCCAGGCGCCCACGGAGGAATGCGGGCCCACGGGACCAGCGGCCTCGGCCCGGGCCCATCCTGCTCGGCCCCGCGGCCTGAGCCTGCGCTCACCGTGTCAGCGGGTGCACTGCTGGCCTCACGGGTCTCCGGGTTCCAGCTACTGGGACACCAGGCAAACAGTGAAAACGTGAGCAGGAAAGAAGCCAAGTGGCTGGTATTCACAGAGGCAGTTGAGTTCTCAGGACTCCCATGCGCCTTGGCTCCAAAAAACAGTCAGAGTTGACCGTTTGGTCGTTTGGCCGGGTGGCTAGACACAGAAATTGTCACAAAAAGCAGCCGAAACGGGACCGGAAAACACAAGTGCTGTGCTGACAATATGTGAGCAACAGCCAGAGTGAACGGAGCAAGGGTGGCGCTGTGCCCGTGTGAGGACGTGACCTGTTCCCGAAGGTGCGTGACACGTGGGGAGACCTGCGGCGTCCCGGGCGGGAACGTGATAGAATCCTGTGTCTGCACACTGCACCCGGCCAGGCTCAAGGATGTGTGAGCATCGGCCTGACTGGGGTCACCCGGCTGACCCAGGGCATGACCGGGACTGGGCAGGGAAGGGGAGTCTACCCCAGGTGAACCAGGTGGGGAGAAGGGTGCCGCCTTCCCCAGCTGTTTACCTGTAAATAATACTGTTTACTGAGAAGGTATTTCCGTCAAAGGAGTTGGCAACCACCAAGAAGTAATCTTCGCCCACTGAGAAGAACTCCCAATCCAGGGCGCTGCGGGAACAAGGGGACAGCATTAGGGGCCAACATTAGGGGACAGGCACTAGGGGGCAATGTTAGGGGACAGGCACTAGGGCACGGAGCCTGAGGTACCCCAGAGCTTGGATGCTGGTTTCCAGCCAGTTCTCCTAATCCCAGAACTTGGGGCCCAGGCCCCACCCCAAACCCACAGAGGAGGGGCCAGGCCCGAAGGGAGTTATTTTCTCAACTACACAGGGAGTTTAGTCATTCACTTGAAATTAAAAAACTGTTTTTAATTGTAGTAAAATACATATAAAATTTTAACAATTTTTAAAAATCCTCACCCAAGGATGTGCTTAGAGAGGGAGAGGGAGAGAGAGAGAGAGAGAGAGAGAGAGAGAGGAGAAACATCGATGGGTTGCCATCCAGGCATCAAACCTGCAACCCAGGTATGGGCCTGGCTGGGAGTTGAACCGGCAACCTTTTGGTGCATGGGACGACGCTCAACCGACAGCACTCCAGCAGGGCTCATTTTAGTCACTTGTAAGTGCACAGCTCAGTGGCATTAAGCACATTCACAGTGTTGTGCAACCACCACCACCATCCATCTCCGGAACGTTCCAGGCTGTGTGTGTGCCTGGCTTATTTCACTCAGCATCTTGTCCTCTAGGTTTTCCCATACGGCAGCCTTGTTGGAATTTCATTCCTCGTTAAGGCTGAATACTATCTACAGTTGCTAATCCCTTCACCCGTTGATGGACACTTGGGTTGCAAGTGTGAACGGTGTTGCTAAGAAACGGGCACAAAGTCTTTCGCCTTGAAGAGGTTGATGTAATCAGAAAAGTGCCAAGCTCAGGGGCATTCCTAAGGGCTGGCAGCGCCCTGGAGGTGGAAACGTGAGGAAAGTTGCCATCCGCCCTCCCCTTCCCACTCCTTCCCGGGCACCAATAAGGTGCCCACATTGAAACGCCCCTACACTGGGAAGCTGTGTTTCTTGCTGCAAACGGTCACGTGCATTCTTAGTCGAGAAGCTCCTGAATCGGCTAAGGATGAGCCTGTGCACGGACTCGGTCCGTTCTGAGGGCTCTGGCAGATAACTTCCTGGGAGATCACCCAGAACCCTGTCCCTCCGGGAGGCCCCACCATCACCTCTCTGGTGACTGCAGGCCCTGTGCCCACTTTACAGGTGAGGAAACTGAGGCTGCAACCACACACTAGTCAGTCAGACGCCAAGGCCCGGCCAGTGAGTCTGTGTCTGGTGGCCTCGGGCTGAGGCCTGGTCGGGCAGCAGAGGGCCTCCTGTCTGGTGGACTCACTGCAGGTTCCCTCCCGGTGGGGACTGAGAGCTCTGGCCTAGAGCAGGGTGCTCAGGCAGGACCCCGGGAGTGAGGGGGTGTCTAGGAGGTACTGGGGGCATGCAGGGATGGCTGAGGCCGGCGGGGACCCTGGTGCACCTCACACCTTCCTTCTCCCATTGGCCAGGATCACGTCTTGGCCCCTTCCAGCCACGGCCACTTAGGATTCAGCCCCAAAGTGGAGGCCACAGCTGTGCTCACTGAGGAGTGGCCTGAGAGGCGTGGCCCTGGGAAGGGTCAGTGGTGTCGTTCCACGTGAGTTGTTCCTCCAATAGTAACTGGGTTCTGAAACCAAGACCCGTGGGAAAGCCGTGAGCAGCAACCATTCACAGCCCGCACCCCGTGCACCGCGGAGGCCACCGGGCCTCGCCGGGAGGAAGACCGTGGGCGGGGTGGCGCCCTGCTCCGCTCGAGGCAGCGTGACAGCAGTTACCCTGACTATCCTCTGAGGTTTTTTTTTAATTCTTTAGAACAACTGCATTTAGCCAAAAGGTGGAAATGACCTCCTTGTGCATCAACGGACAACTGGGCGAGTGAAATGTGGCCTGTCCACATGATGCCTATCATTTGGCCACACAAGGAACGCAGCATGACGCGTGTTCTTGTGTGTATGTCCACCACAGGGGGTCCGCAGGGACCAGCAGCCGACTGGTGGTGCCCGGGGCTGGGGACCTGGGGGAGGGGTGACAGTGAAAGGCAGGGGCTTCTTTCCCAGGCATGTGATGTCCTAAAATCACCTGTGGTGATGGTTGCACCTACCTGTGAACTTAATACAAATGAACCACACTGTTTCAAAGGAATTTGAGTCAAGATGATAAACATGAGCCACCAAATTCCTCCACTGGCCCTGGAGGAGCCTCGCAACATGCAGGAGTGAGGCCACGTCCCACCGACGAGGGATGCGGGCAGCCTTCCGTGCTGGTGGCCCCCATGTGTGGCTTTGGGGACCGTGCCTGAGGCTGGGCCTGCCGCCTCCTCAGGGTGGGCTCGGTGGGGGGCGCAGTGGGGAAGGTCGCTGTTGGCCGACCCGATGCTGTGCCCGGCCGGCCTCTCCCTCCCACCCAGCCATACCTGCAGGTCGGGATCTCCTGGAACTTGACGAATGTCTGCGCGGTGATGTTCAGCTCGTAGATGACCGAGTTGATGACGTAGGAGTCATTTTGCACTTGCATTTCCACATCGTAGCTGTGACTGTTGGCAACAGCGAGAAAGATCCTGTCTCCAATATGGAAGACTTCCCAGTCCGCGGCGCCAAATGTCTGGGAGGGAAGGAGAGGAGGGCAGGGCACACTCGTGAACAGAGACGGCAGGAGCCGCCAAGTGACGCCACACACACATACACACAGACACACACATACACACACACACACACACACACACACACACACACCCCGCCGAGCACGTTGGGCAAGGTCTCCGCTCTCCAGCCTGGATTCGCTCAATTTCCCAAGGCGGCGACTCTCACTCCCTTTACAAACATGAGTGCCAGTTGTGCCTGTACCTGAACGGTGCCACATCTGGGGTGACTGCTTCTTAGCCATCTGTGCCACCCACTCCCCCAAGCCCCAGAGCTGCCCTTCCTTCAAGGTCTAGCTGCTACCACACCTCTTCCAGGGAGCCCTCCCTGCTTCCTCCAGTCTGGCCCTGAACTCTGAAGCAACCTGTAGGTGCCTCTTGTGCTTCTCACTATGAGCTGTTCCTGCCCGAGGTTCTCCTTTGGGTCTCCCCACAGCCCCATCTCTGGGCTCCCGTGCACACTGTTGCTCCTAAATCACTTGTCACCCTCGAGGCTGAGGTGTGCGGGGTCAGCAGGGCTGGGCTTTGGCGCGAGTGGCCGGCTGTGGAGCCTGTGCCCCCGACCGCGAGCTGCATGAGCTGATTTGCATGTGGGGCTCACAAGGAGGGAGGTGATGTGCAGCTCACGGCCAGCATCTCGGGCCTAACGGTGGTGCTGGTGCAGGGGGAGGAGACGACCAGAGAAACCCAGATCCAGGCCCTGGCTGAGCTCTGGAGAGAGGGCAGGATAGAAACGAAAGGAGGCATTTTCCTGGGGAGCGAGGGGCAGGTGCAGGGAGAGGCCCCGGGGTGAGAGAGGGAGACCCTGGCAGGGCACTGTGGCAGGGGACAGTGTTTGTCCCCATGCCCAGCAGAGGGCGACATTGTCCGCCTCGGCCCAGCCCAGGTAGCTGCTGTCTGAGAACATTCCCGGGGGCCCCTAAGCTGGGCTCGGAGCCAGGAGTTCTAGAAACAGGTCTGGATCGGTCCCGAGGAGCGGAGCCAAGTAAGGTTAAGCCGAAGGCGGACTCACTAGCACAAGGACCGGAACCAGACACCTGGCGGTCCCTGATCCCTCACGGGGGCCAGGAGCTCGGTAAGGCCTTTCTGGATCAGCCTGTCCTCTCCTCCACGCGGCTCCGGGAGGTGGCACCCTTCTTTCCCTGGGGCGCCCCACGACCTCTGAGCAGGCTCGGACACTGGGGGCCACAGGGCCTTCAGCATCACCCGCCCGGTGGCTGCTTCACAGACAGCGACAGTTACAGACCCACACGGGGCGGAGAGTCACACACATGCGGCGGTGACTTCGCAGAAACCCAACAGGAGATGTCAGACTGTTACTAGTAGATTCCAGATCCTCTGACCTGTGCTGGGGAGACCATGTCAATGGGAAACAGCACCCACGTGTGCACGAGGAAATGCACATACCGGTGTGCGCACACCTGCATGTACACACACCTGTGCACACACTCCTGCATGCATGCGTGCACACGGGCACTCCCCCACAGTTCAGGGGCCAGGAGCTGTAAGAGAGGATCTCCCCCAGGACTTCGTGGGGCTCTGAGCCCCTGGACTCAGACCGCTCCCTTCTCCTGAGCCCCAGCACAAGGTGACAGAAGGGGACCCGGGAGGGTGCTGGGGCACTGGCAGCAGGGGAAGAGGCCACAACCGGAAGCCCCAGGTCCCAGGAAACGCCTGCCAGCGGCAAATCCAGCCACAGCCTTCCGGGAGGCAGGGAGGAGTGTCAGGTGGGCGTGGAGCCGATACAGCAAATACGAGGAGCTTCGTTCCATGCGAATTTCAGAGAAACAACAATTTTCCAGGACTTGTGTATCCCGTGCAATACTCAGGACATGCTTTCACTAAAAAAATCATTCCCTGTTTCTCAAGAATTCAAATGGAACAGGCGCTCTGTAGCTTATCTGGCCATAGGCGAGCAGAGACCTGCATGGGGCGGGCTGGGTCACAGTCACTACTGTCAGCGACCCCTCATCCCCACAGTGTGGCTGCCAGGAGCCCCCCAGAGCGGGGCCATCACCTGCACCCTGGGCCAGAGGCTGGGCTCCCCGCACTGGGAAGCAGGTCTGAGGCTGCCTGGGGCTGCACCGGCCTGAGGCACCTGCTGGGCTGGGCTGGGCTGTCCCCTCCTTCCCTCCTTCCAAGGGAATTCCCCCGGAGCCCTGCCCTGCCCTGCCAGCCTGGCATGGTGCCCGGGGGCTTGGGAGCACCTCTTGGGGTGATGGTGCTGCCTGGAGCCCCGGGAGCCCCTGACAGCCCCCCTCGAGGGTAGGTGGGCTCCCGGGGTCATCGGACCAGTGTGGGCAAGGAGGTCCTCAGGTTCCAGCTTGGATGGAGCAGAGAACCAAGGGGGTGGTAGTGCCTGGGAGAGGGCAGGGTGGGTGGGGACACTGTCAGCTCCTGCCTCCCAGAGCCAGCGGAAGTCACAGGAGAAAGCACCCTCTTGAATTGAGCCCGGCCCCTCCCAGGTCCCTCCTGGGCGTGGGGACCACAGGGGGGTGCTCTCTCACGCCACCCTCCTTACAGAGGTGGATCTTAACCAACTTTCTTGCCTGTTTCTTTCTTTTCATTTGCTTCTGGACATTTACATTCTTGGTGGAGACAGTTTCCAACAAACCCACAGCTTCCCCGCCACCTGCACACCCGCTGGCCACTCTGTGCAGCAGCTCCATGCGTCCCATCCACCTGCCTGGCTCAACGCTCCCTCCATCACTGACCCTCTCTCGGGGGGCCCTGGGCACTCAGCCACCCTCTGCCCCAAGCCTCCCCAGCTCTGGGTCCTCAGGTCCACCAGGGACTTAGCCATCAGCCCCACCTCCCAAGGCAGCAAACCCTGAACCCAGAACCTTGGTCAGCGGTGCCCCTCTCCCCGCCCTTACCATTTCCCCTCCTCATCCCCGCCCCCTCCACGTGGGCCTCCATTTGATCACGTGATCACAGCCCCACAACCCCACAGCCTTCACTCAGGGAGCAGACACCCCAGCAGCCGGAGGCTGGGCTCCGTGCCCAGAGCCGTTCCCTCCTGGACCTGCCCAGCTCAGGGCTCCTTTGACCACAGATGATGAGGACAAGTGTCTGGGGCCTGGGTTTCTGCCCCCTGGAGGGAGGATCCTGGAGTCCCTGGTGGGTGGGCAGCCAGCCTCCACTCACATCTGGACCCAAAGCCCTGCGTGCCCGGATTCCCCAGGAGCAGCAGCTCCGCGTCACCCAGACCCACTGCCGCTCCTCCCAGCGAGGGCAGGGTGCACAGCTCTGCAAACAGGGCCCAAACCTGCTCCCCGAACCCTGTGAAGGGCTCCTGCGATGCCAGCACCTCTTCCCCCGACACGTCTCTGAGCACCCTGCCTCTCCTGCTTCAAAGCTCACGGTCACACCAAACTCCACACCAAACAGTAAACACATCGAGGCATCTCCAAGGCTTGAAAGGACCTAAACACAATACAAAAATGCTGGCAAAACAGGAAAGTGGAGTTCTGTGGAGTTGGAGGAATTATTGCGAGGTGTGAACAGATGCGGCTTGTAAGAGGAGGAGGCCTTCAGGCAGGGGGCAAAGCTGGTGGGTGCCCTCAGAGCTTGGGCGGCCGCAGTGCCCTGGGCGTCCATCCGAGCAGCCCGAGTTCTGGCTCCTGGGACAGCTCTGCCCTAGAGCTAGAGACCTCCCTCATGGCCACAGAGTCCTGCTCCCACCACCTGCTCCCGGATGCTTCTCCCCTGCCCTCGGCCCACGCTCCTTAGGGTCGCATCGCAGGGACGGGCCTTCACCTCCGTGCAGCTGGCCCGTCTCTGCCCTCTGCCTCCGCCTCCCTTCTGAGGATGCCCCTGTCCCGGAATGGGCACAGACTGAGCTGGCTCACAGATGCCACCTGAAAATGCAGTGGCCACCTCCTCCAGGCCGGCTTGTCTGCCGTCATCGACATCCCACGGGTGGGTCCTGTAACCACCTTCCGGACCCCTCCTCCTGCCTTCCCTTCAGCGTCTTGTCCTGGCCCTTTTTTTGTTTTGTTAATCCTCACTCGGATTGCTGGGGAGTCCTCTTCTATTGCTTTTTAGAGAGAGTGGAAAGAGCGGGGGAGGGGGGAAAGAGAGAGAGACATCGATTGGTTGCCTCCCGCACCCTCACACTCAACAGACTCAGACAACTCAGGGTGCCCGGGGGTCGGACAGGAGACCTGAGACACGGAGGCTAAAGTGCACACACAGAACCTCACAGGGAGAAACTGGCCCTGGGAGACGTGCTGTAAGGAAGACCTTCCGAAATCGGCCTTTTGTCGTATTGCACCTTTCTGTTAGTGTGTGCCCTTGACCAGACTCAAACTCGGACCCTCAGTCCATGGGTTGACTCTCTAGCCACTGAGCCACACCAGCCAGGGTGACAATGACAATTTGTGAGAATCCTCTTCTGCTTCGGGAACTAGCTCAGTTTCTCCCTGCGAGGGTCTGTGTGTGCACTTTAGCCTCCGTGTCTCAGGTCTCCTGTCCGACCCCCGGGCACCCTGAGTTGTCTGAGTCTGTTGAGTGTGAGGAAGGCTGTGGCTGGATTTGCCGCTGGCAGGCGTGTCCTGGGACCTGGGGCTTCTGGGAGACGTACTGTAAGGAAGACCTTCCGAAATCGGCCTTTTGTCGTATTGCACCTTTCTGTTCAAATGTAGGTGATTTAGGATCACCGTGTAGGTAGCCGTAGGATGGCAATCTCCAGAATGACGCCCAGCCCACCACAGGAGGCGCCCCCACATCACACAAGGGTCTGGCCCTGCCAAGGACCTGGCCCGGTTGACCAAAGCCACCAGCTGCCCCTCTGTGCCAGGCTGCGGCCCTGCTCCCAGGACACCACAGAGCTCTGCTCCGGCCCCAGCGCGCCTGCTGGAGACGTGGAAACCATCACCCGAGTCTTCTTCCAGAACGAAGTCTCCGGTTCCTACGATTGTCCCTCCTTCTATACGACTCAAATCCCTTCCAGACCGCCCACCTCCCCAAGCTCCCAGGGTGCCGAGCTGCAGCTGCACAGCCCCAACCCCTCCTGGGCGGCATGCTCACCGCTCACCTCACTGCTCACCTGGGCGCTGCCATCCCGCCCGCTTCCCAGGCACCACGGGGCCTCGGTGACGCATGCAACTAACTTAGAGCCCACGGAGTGTCCACACACACAGCTGTCGGCCTGTCGCCTGCACACCTGCCCGGCCTCCACGCGGCCCTTGCCCTGCGGCTCCAGGCCACATTCTCATTCTGTCCCCGCTAGTCCAGTCGGGCGTCCTTGGGAACCTGCTTTCCCACCGCAGCCTTGTCCTGCCCCCACCTAACCCAGACGCGTTTGCACCTCCTCAGGCTAATTCCAGTCAGAGATCCCGTCCCCCTGGGCAGACCCTGGCCAGCCCATTGCTGGGCCCTTTCAGACCAGCACACACGCCCCCAGCACCTCCTCCTCTCACAGGACGGCTGCGCTGTGTCCCCGAGTCTCCGCGTGCTTAGGCACCACAGCAATGACCATAAGGAGCATTCGAGAAAGACCCTGCCCGACGCTGAATAAAGCAACGGCACAGCTGGGTTCCAATCCAAGTTCTGTCGAGAGCAAGTCCGATAACTCCTGAGCCTCCGTTTCCCGAGAGTAAGAGGGGGCGAGTGGCAGAAGTTACCTCACAGCCCAGACAGCAGGGCTCAGTGGTTGAGTGTCAACCTATGAACCAGGAGGTCATGGTTCGATTCCTGATTGGGGCACATGTGCCCCCCAGTGTGGGTCGTGCGGGAGGCAGCTAATCAGTGATTCTCTCTCATCATTGATGTTTCTATCTCTTTTTCCCTCTCACTTCCTCTCTGAAATCAATAAAAATATATTTTAAAGAAAGTTACTTTGTAGGGCAGCTGTGTGCATACGATGACCTGTTTTCAGAAACCAGGTCCATATCCTTCCAGCGACACCCCCAGCTGTCCACACCCCATCCCCCCGAAGAAGTAGGTTAAGCTCTTGGCATGGAGCTTTGTGAGACCCCTACTCAGCAAGCTTGGACGCTGTCACTGCTCAAGGACAATGCCTCAGCCCTGCCAGTGTGGCTCAGGGGGTGAGCGCCAACCTATGAACCAGAGGTCAGGGCATGTTGCAGGCTCGACCCCCAGGAGGGGTCATGCAGGATGCAGCCGATCAGTGATTCTCTCTCATCATTGATGTTTCTGTCTCTCTCTCCCTCTCCCCTCCTCCCTGAAATCAATAAAAATATATTTTTAAAAAAGTTACTTCATAGTGCGGCTGTGTGCATACGATGACCTGTTTTCAGAAACCAGGTCCACATCCTTCCAGCGACACCCCCAGCTGTCCACACCCCATCCCCCGAAGAAGTAGGTTAAGCTCTTGGCATGGAGCTTTGTGAGGCCGCTGCTCAGAGAGCCTGGACGCCGTCACTGCTCAAGGACAATGCCTCGGCCCTGCCAGTGTGGCTCAGGGGGTGAGCGTCAACCTATGAACCAGAGGTCAGGGCACAGGCCCAGGTTGCAGGTTCGACCCCCAGGAGGGGTCATGCAGGATGCAGCCGATCAGTGATTCTCTCTCATCATTGATGTTTCTGTCTCTCTCTCCCTCTCACCTCCTCCCTGAAATCAATAAAAATATATTTAAAAACAAAACAAGAAAAAGAATGACGCCTCACCCCAGTCCTGCTTCCCCCAGCGAATCCCCCCACCCCACCTGGGAAACAGCACCCTGATTATTAACCTTGGACTCATGCTGGCTCTTCCCGGCCTCACTGGTCCAGTCAACAGCTCTCGTGAATTCGGCTTCCTGAATGTGCTTTAGAAGCCTCCACAGCTTCCAGATGGTGCTGCCACCTCCCTCGCCCGGGGCCGCAGCTCCTGCCCCGCGATGGGCACGTGCACGCCCCGCCCTGCCCCTGTGCTCCTGTCATGGTCCACGTCACAGCCTTCTGGGACACGTGCGGTCCCACCCTAATAAATACTCCTGCAGCCTGATCACAGGTCCTGCTAACCAGCCCATGGCGACCGGGACCAGCTGAGGGACCTCGAGGTCTGAGGGAACGTGGAGAGTGCTGCCCTGACCCGCCACATGTGGCCAGGTCAGCGGTCAGCTGTCTGCCTGCCCCAGGGCAGGAGCCTGACACCCAGGGGTGGCCAGGCAGCGGGGGTCAGGAGGCCAGTCTGAGCAGCAGGTGCAGCCCGGACACCTTTGTGACAGAGGGACAGCCGAGCCAGCGCACCCCTCCTCTCAGGTTAGGGCTCCCCAGGCTCTTCTGGGGAAGGCTGCCGTGTGCAACACGACTCAGCCTGAGCCTTATTCAGGGACGGGGGGAGGCACCTGGGGTGGAGGCACAGGGGTGAAGGTCCTGACCGACCGGCACTGGTCCTGGCTGGGGCCCCTGACCGGCATCACCAGGCGCTGTATGGGATCAGGTAGGCCCTGGGGGCACAGGGCGCAGTGCCGTTCCTTACCAGGAAAGACTGGAAGAGCCGGAAGGAGCCGACCAGCCAGACGTACAGGTGGGAGTGCACCTTGGTGGACGTGCCGTTGAAGGCGTTGGCCACCACCAAGAAGGAGTAGGGCCCCACCGTGAAGAACTCCCAGTCGTAGGCGCCGGAGGTGGCGATGGTCTGGTTGGCCTCGAACAGGCGCGTCCGCGGGTTCCACTTGTAGATGACGCTGTCGATGTTGTGGTTGTCTCCTGGAAGCCGAGCGGCTGCGTTGAGGGCGGGGCACGAACTCCCGTGGCCTCACGGCAGCCTCGGCAGAGCTCTGGCCCCCCTGGACCCTGCCCCAGGCCCCTGCTGCCTGTCCAGCCCAGCCAGGCCTGGGCCACTCTGGGCGTGGCCTGCTCACCCCACACTCCCCTGCACCCTCA